TCAATCAATCGAATCGTTTTCCATATTGCTTTTAGTTTTCTCTTAGTTTGTCCATCTTTGTCGATTTGCGCCGTAAATCGTCCGCCGCCGCTGCGAGAGTGTGACACCTCTTTGTAGGTTTGTCCTGAAAACCTTCCGTTTTGCCCACGAGACGGGTAGTTATCTAGAATCGGCTCCGCTAGCCGGTTTAGTTATCAAAACCCATCTTGGTTTAGCTTTTGCTAGATTGAGGTGGTTGGCGACTCTAGGATCACTGCAAGGCGTTTAGGTGCTACGATTGTGCTTGTCAACTTGTCACAAAAAGTTGCCAACACGATTTTTGGTGATTCCGCTTGGGAAATCTGCTCAAAGGCATCTCAACTTCGACGTCGTCATGACAAAGCTTCCATCAACCAAGGCAGAGGTGGAACCGGGCAATGTGATACCAGTCGCATTGGAGGAGCTTGACGAGGGAGCACGCAAAGCTTTGAATGAACATCTTAAGGCGTATACTCAAGATCTATTGACGAAGGCGTGCGCTAGGACCCGTCAAGGTGTGGTTTTCAAGCCGGGATCATTGCCTAAACCTACTTTTGACATGGTAAGTGCTGAAGAGTTATCACAATCTATCCAACAACAAATTGCACATTCAATAGATTCATCTATGGTTACTTTAAATAATAAATTAGATGCATCTATTGAAACTCGTTGTGAAGAATTCATGAGGACTACATTCGGCTCTCTCATGGCCGATTTTATGTTCAAAGATAAAGCCTCTACCAGTGCTAGCCAAGCCCCTATAGATCAAATAAGTAGTAAAACTGATGGGGCGAAGACGCAACAAACCGGCGAGGGGTAGTCGGCGCATACAGCCGGTCTGACCGGGCCAGATGGCCGGTCAGACCGCGACTTTGCCGCCAGTCAGACCGGCCAGATGGCCGGTCAGACTGGGTATTACCCCGGCGGTCAGACCGGACCTCAGACCGGTCTGACCGCACCTCTGGACGCCGGTCAGACCGGGTCTTGGACCAGGCAGACCGACGCAATTATTCCTATACAGGGGGTAGATCCTATTACAAATAACGCGTATTTGTACCATCTTAGAACATTTGATCCCCCTGTATCTACTGTTGTTGCTTGTTCCCAAGTTCCCCCACATGTTCCCAATGCTTATAATGATCCTAGTAGGGGATATCCCACCGATACTAGGCATGGCCAATATAATTATATTGCGCCACAACCTCAACCTATTAGGCCACCAAACCCACCACCAAACCAACATAGGCCTGATAATATAGAGGAATTGATTAGTGGAATCATTAGGGATAAATTCGGGATTGAAGCTAGGAATCGTGCTAAGGTTTACCAAAAGCCGTATCCTGATTACTATGACGATGTACCATATCCTCGTAGTTATAGGGTTCCCGAATTTACCAAATTTAGTGGTGAGGATAGTAGGACCATATGGGAACATGTAGGATAATTCTTAGCGCAATGTGGAGAGGCTAGTAGTTCCGATACTTTTAAATTGCGCTTGTTTTCTTTATCTTTGTCCGGTATTGCTTTTACATGGTTTACTTCTTTACCGGCCAATTCTATTCATACTTGGGCTCAATTAGAACAAAGATTCCATGATTATTTCTATACTGGTGAAACTGAGCTTAGGTTATCTGATTTAACATCGGTTAAATAAAAGTATAATGAATCTGTCATAGATTATGTTAAGAGGTTCAGGGATGTTAGAAACCGATGTTATAGCTTGAATATAACTGATAGGGATTTGGCTGATCTTGCTTTTAATGGTTTAATTGCTCCTATTAAAGAAAGATTAGATGGCCAACAATTTCTTGATGTTAGTCAACTTATGCAAATGGTTCTGGCTCAGGAAAGCCGGGTTAAGGATAGTAAGAAATTTGTTAGACCATATGAGAAGAAGCCTAATGTTAATTTGATTGATTACCCCGAGGCTAGTGATAGTGATGGTGAGGGTGATCATGATATGCATGTTGTTGAGTGGTCATGGACTAACAAAAATAAGGCTTTTGTTTGTTCTAATTTAATGCCGACTCCTCGTAAAGATCGGCAAAGTGAGGTTAAGTATAGTTTTGATGTGGCCAAATGTGATAAGATTTTTTATTATCTTTTGCAAGAAAAAAAAATTAGATTACCTAAAGGCCATATCATATCATCTCAAGAAGAGTTGAAGCGTCGAGCTTATTGTAAATGGCATGATTCTTATTCTCATTCTACTAATGATTGCAATGTGTTTCGACGACAGGTTCAATCGGCCATAGATGAAGGACGATTGAAGTTTACCCATGGTTCCAAGATGAAGCTTGATCATGATCCTTTTCCGGTAAATACAATTAATTTCAATGATAAGAAGGTGTTGATTCGGCCGGAGCAAGCCGAATCTACTGTCACGCCCAAAAATTTAGCCCAAATTTCCAAACTATTTTGTGTATTAAATCCCTGTACAGGACCAGCCAGGGTACACAAAACGACAAGTAATATACAGCTCTAAATGTAAATAAAGCGTAAAATAATTATAGAAGAGGAACTTAGTCCTCACACCGAAACGAAAGCAGTAGCAGCGGAAAAAGGCGATCCTAACGGGGCTTCAGCTTCACTCTACAGGCAAAACTCAACTGGGGTCTGAGCCTTGGTCCTCTAACTCCGTCTTCATCTTAGAAGCACTACACTTCTGAAAAGGGGAAACAATAGCAAGGCTGAGTACAACCACCGTACTCAGCAAGCCACACCAATAATGCAGACGTGCAAGGGGATACAAGGACGGTTTGTGGCTATTTGCATAAAGGCGGTTGTAAAACATTTATTGCGCAAAACAGTAAAACAATTGGTTAATTAAGGTAACATTGAATCTCCACTTATCGGCTTCAAAGTTCTAGAATCAGCCGATGGGAGTCAAGTCGCCACGATATCATGTTCTTGGTGGAGTCGGATCAATCAAAGGAAGCTTATCTAGAAGAGTCTGAGATCAAGAAGGATGCGACATGACAGTTTATCTATTAATTAGGCATAGTTTGTTAGTTTCCTTTTATCTTTAAGAAAGTTTGTTTAGTGTCCGATAGGGACTTTAATCTTTTCCTTTTTAGTTTCTTTCTTGTCCGACAAGGACTAGTATCTCCCTATGGGTATAAATATGTACACCCGGGGTCTATGTAATTTATCAATCTATCGATCAACAATACTCTCGGCGCATCGCCACCCTCTTTATCGAGGTTTTTACTTATCTTCCGGCGGGATTTGGGCACCTGACGCGGGGCTGCATCGGCTTTCGATCTCCGGCGAAGGGGTAAGTCCTATGTTCCGTCGGGCCCTGATGAATCTGTCGGCTACGTTGGTGTTGTTCAAGGCTGCATCGCTTCGATCTCTTGGATCGCTCTGGTTTGGTTGACATATTTGCCTACCTGATATCTCAATTCTATCTCTAGTTGCATTGTGTTTAGAGATGCATCGGTTTAGTTGGAACTGTCTCGGTTAGGTCTGATCTTCTATCTTGGCCGATATATCTCTATAATCGCAATGCTGTTATAAATAGATTTGTTATATCCTTCACATTAGACAGATCTATCGGCTCATCGAGTATTAGATTATCATATACAATCTCATCTCATGCTGCATCGGTTAGGTTCGACCTACTAGATTGTTGTTGATAATATAAGTCTTGTGAAGCCGATAGGTTCATACTAATGTTTTATCGGGGTGCTAGCCGATAAGTTATCTGGATGTTGCATCAGCTCATAAGGATTACATATATATATATAAGTTGGATTTAGCCGATTGCAACAAAGGTTTCACTGTTTAATCTAATATGTGGATTTTATGGCATCGGACCTCCAGCCGATATACGCTTTAACCTTCGGATCAGTGCTTATTCTATCATATCGTTGCTAGCCGATTGGTTTCTACTGGACTATATTATTGTTATATTATATTATCATCAGCCGATTGCCTCTATATCATTATCTACATTGGACATATAGCCGATTGCTTAAACCCTATCGCTATCGGCTGGTATCGGCATCGGCTATTATCGGCTATCGGCTGGAACTACTCCATCGGCTTGTCAGCCGATCGGCTGTTTTGATCTACTATTTGCATATCTTGTCAGTGGCAGGATCAAACTGACTGGCACGCACGCATCTCATCATATTTGGACCTGCACTGGAGCTAAGCAGATCTCCCAGGCCGGTGTGTTCGATTTTTTCGTCAACAGCTATTCGAATAGTTTTACTTTGGCCAGAAGTGCACAACTGTACCCACAAGACACAATCCACCGGCATGTCACCGTGCCCGGCCGGACACGTCACCATGTCGAGTGATTGTGACAAGACCCTTCATATAACCCCCTCTGACCAAACACACCACACCTCAGGTTTCACCCCCGCCCCCAGCAGGCAGCGGGCAGTCCCCTCTCGTGCCTAGGTGAATCCGGAAGCGACAAAGGCCGTCGCAGGGCCCATCCCGCTCCATCACGCCCACCCTTGCCTGGATGCGTCAGCTAGAGAAAAGCTATACTTTAAGTCAGGCAGTTACCCATTCCCAATTGTGGCAAGCGCTGTAAGTCTTCCAGTGCATCCCGCGAACCGGTCCTTAATTGCCATGGGTGCGACTAGCAAAACCATGCACCCACGACCCACCATTCAGTCGCATTTTAGTTGGATAATTACGACCAATGGAACATGGTCTGATGTCTCGAGCACGCAGCTCGCCATGATACTAAAAAGTTCTAATACTGCAATTATCTCATCAACTGAGCTAGTAGTAATTAAGCATGGCTAAGCATAAATGATTCTAGCTAGGTCAACATAAGTAACACAAGCTAGTCGATTTATCACCCAAGGTTGACAAAGGACAGATATGAAGTAAACATGGCACACGCAAGCAGATAGGTAAACCATGATCCCATTTAATTAGCAAAACATGCATATTTATTTGCAAACGGGAAAACATTTGTAAAGTAGGATCAAAATGCTCAAGGGGAATGTGTGACTTGCCTTGCTTCTTCACTTTTATCTTCTGAACTCTTTTCCTCGCGACCGCGGATTTTCGAAACGACGGATTATACACGCTAGCACGGAAATTGAGGAAAAACCCTAATAAAAACCAAGTAAATAGTACATAGAAAGCAAACAAACATGTAGATCTCAATTTTAGATGAATTTTACAAGTTGAATGGCCCAATTTGGAGTTCGAATGAATTAGATATGGATTTTAGAAGTTTTGAGCCATTTAAATGAATTTCTAGAATTTATTGATTTATTGCGCAATTATTAATTATTTTCTCAAAGGAAATGGACTCTGCTGACGCAGCAAGGGGTGAGGCGTGGACCGCGTCCACAAAGGGGCGGGCCCCACACGTCAGCGGCACGGCCTACCAGGTCCACGCGGGCACACACCCGACGGCCCATATCGACCGAGACCGATCGGACGGTCGGGTGGCGCGGCTGGCGCACGAGCGTGGCAAAGGGCCGGCTCGGCTGAGCGACGGCGCGGCAACCGGCGGCGACGGCCGGCGACGCAAGGAGCAGCGGTGCACAGCACGGGAGGCGGCCAGCGAAGGGGAAAGGAGGAAGAAGGGTGGGGGAGTTCTCACCGAGCGCCACACGGCGGAAGGAGGCGGCCGGCGGCGGGATGGCAACGGGAGGTAGCGACGGTGGAGCTCGGGGTAGAGGGAGACGACGATGCTCCGGCGACGAGCGGAGCTCGGGAAGAGGCGGACGAGCGGCAGCTGCACCATAGGATGGGAGGGGAGGTGTTAGGGAGGACGGGGCGACGACATGGCCGGCCGGAGAGGAAAAGAAGGGAGGAAGGGCTCACCAACGCACGGGATAGCGGACGTCCTGTGAGTTTTCAGCGATGGGAAGAGGTGGCCGAGGTTCTCCTCGTCCTTGCGGAGCCGAGGGAGGCGACGGCGTGGGTCGGCGACGACCGGAGCAGAGGGACAACACGGCTGGAGTCGGCCAATGGTGGCGGTGGCTCGGGTCGACGGTGGAGGGGCGGTTGCGGTGGTGATTTGGGGAAACGAAGCTGAGGCCGGTGTGCAGCACCTCGCGGCGAAGCCGTCGGTGGCAGTGGCGCAGCGCGGCGACGACTAGGGCGGTGGTGGCGAGCGGCTGGAGGCGGTGAAAGAGGTGGCGGCTTTGGGTGCACGGTGGGAACGGTGTTTCGGGGTGGAAGGGGGAAAAAGGAGTGGCGGCCGGGGGTTCCACGCGGTGCGGCGAACGCGGTGGAGGCGGAGGCGCGGCGTGAGGTGGCCAGGAGCGGCCACATGGGGCGGCCGGAGCACGGCGACGAGCGGCGGAGCTCGGACTCGCGTCGCGAGCGCGATTTAGGGCACGGGGAAGCTCGGGAGTTGGGGGAAACGAGAGAGGGGAGGCTGGGGAGTGTTTTTATAGGGGAGGGGAGGTCGGACCGAGCCAAGGAGAGGCGGAGACAGGGCGGCAACCGCCGGTGGCGTGGGCGGCATCGTGGGGTGTGGGCGGCGGTTTTGGAGGGGAGAGGTGGGGATGAGAAGGACGTGGGGCCACGGGGTCCCACGGCCGGCGGGCTCGCGCGCGGGGTGGAGGAGGAGGGCGGAAATGGCGGCGTCATGGGGTGGCTCGGGCGGCCATGGGGGCGGTTGGAGCCGGAGGAAGGGGATGTCAGGTGGGGCCTCGGGTCCCACCTGTCGGAGATAGAGAGGGAGGGGAAAACGGGAGAGGGAGGACAAACGGACTTGCGAAGGGGAGCGAGCTGGGCCGACGGCCCGAGAGGGGGAAGAAGGGGAAGGGGAGAGGGGCAAGCGGGCCGAGGAGGGGAAAGGAGGGATTGGGCCGGGTCAGCCCAAAAGGAAGAAGAGGGAATTAAATTTGTTTTTCTTTTTTATTTAATTGTTAATTGAACTTTGTATTATTATAATTACTTCTTGAGCTCTGAAAATTCATGGAAAAATCCGGAGGGTATACTAGGGCACAAAGAATATTACAAAATATTCTCAGCTAATGATTTTTTAAAGAAAATTTTTAATTCCCTCACTATTTCACTTGATTAAATTGCTTTAACTTTTATTTAATTTCTAGAAAATGCATTATTAATTGATTTTTAATCCCGAAAGAAAATCGGTGCGTTACATCTACTAAGGGGAAATGAGTGGTCATTGGGGAGACTAGGCCAAAGATGATGGTGCCAAAGAATCCGGAGGTTGGCGTGTGGAAGGAGAATAGGAATGAAGCTTCGAGTTCTAAAGCTCCTAAGAAGACTAAGGTGACCTTCGATATGCTTTTGGACAAGTATGAGAAGCAAGGTGGTGAGAAAGCTGGCAATAAAGGGAAAAGACCAAGATCACCTCCTAGGGAGTGATTTGGTCATTCACCAAGACGGTCGGAATCACCAACATATCATCGTCCTCAAGACATGTCATGGGGGCCTTATCCAATGCCGTCGCCGGGTTATCCTTTTCCTTACTACATGCCATGGGGGGCAACACCGCCAATGTTCAATCATATGCCTCCAATGCAATACAACCAAGGATGGGGAGGACCAAGGAGGCCGGCTCGTGAGCGCTTGTCTTCACCAAACAATAGCCGGTTTTATGCTAAGAACCGGGCCAATGAAGAAAAGAGGGAAGGAAAGCACTGCACTTGTTTGTTCTCTCCCTCTCTCTGTCTCAATATAATAGATAGAGAACCCAGACCTTCTACCATAAATAGATATACTATACATAGACAAAACTTACAAAAATCGTTAGTTTTCAAATATCTTAACTAAGAAACAACAAAACAAAACAAAGGTATTTTTTTTCAAAAAAAATGTAGAAAAGTAAGCTTTTTGAATCTTCTTTTACCATGCTTCGCCAATCCATAAAACCGCACCGAGATGATCTTAAGGAGCAGCCTGAACTCGAACAACCCTTAATTAGCAGAGTTCCATCCCTAATAACATTTTCTTTTATTTATGATAAACTAATTAAATTTGTCATTACATAATGTATTTTAGTGTTCAAGGACTAGGACCTGCTAGCTTCCTCTACAAAAGTATTGGGAAAAATGTGATCCTATTCATATTTTCCATTCAAAGAGTGTAAATGATTTTTTTATTTAATTTATGCCCAAATTTAGTAGGCATCTTTTTCTCCCTGTTTTTTTTATAGCTAGGTTTGTTTCCATATGTCTGCCTTCTTGTTCATAGCCACAGTAGATAGCTAGCATTGCAAGAAGATCAGCCATTGCTCATTGCTTCATCTCTCTCTCCTTGCGGCTGATGATGGGTGGCATACTACTAGAAAAACGATTTTCTACAATGAACACATATATTTTCACAGGAAGATCTTATTTTCGACTATGATTGCCTGGCTGTGTAGTTGTTGTGTGGAGAGGAGTCCAATGGCCGACCGCCTGGGAATATCCTATTCCCATTTTTGCAAGCAGATGGCTTAAAAGGGCCGCCTGCAATAATACCCTTATTTTTGCAGGCGGGCCTCTTAAGCCATATGGTGAAATTTGGTTGTGGCATTTAAATAGACGCAAAAGGAAACTGAAACACCAGTTTTTTCTAAGTCCCTAACTCCCTCCCTTTTCCTCTCTCAAGCTCCTCTTTCCTCACCCGAACGGCAGCAACGGCGGGGCTCGGTAGTGTTGGCGGGGAAGGGAGCAGCGGTGGTGCTCCCCCGGCCGTGGCGCACGGTTCTCCGACGAGGGTGGTGGATCTAGCAATGAGGGCGGCGGAGGCGGCGGATCTGGCGATGGTTCGTCTTGGCCTCCTCCTCGTCATGGTGGCAAGGGCGCACCCTCCTCGCGCTGTTTGTGGTCGTCTTCCTCGTGGTGGTCTTGGTGACAATGTTGGCACTGGAGGTGGTGGTAGAAGCGGCGTCCATGGAAAGCCGGCTTCCGGATCGGCTTCTCGGTGGCAATGGCGGCATCAATCCTCCCTGCAATGATGACCACCACCACCACGTCCAACTGCTGTTTCGTTTTGGCTACATGCAAAAATCGTTGTTCTAGTAGTGGCAGTACTGATGAGAAGTAGAGAGTATAGAAGATATGGAGGAAATTAATACATTGGCAGTTTTGACATTATTGGAGTAGTGATCGGGATGATGCATGCATGGAAAATCAAAATAAGAATAACACTATAGAATCCCCCTCCCCCCCCCCCCCCGCCCCGTATCATTAGTTTTATCCGTCAACGAGTTTGAAAATACCATCACAGATATACCGGGACAATTTACTCTTTATTTGTCTACTATGTAAAACTAATAAATCAAAATGAGGATTGAGAAAACAAGAGAGATCATATGATTGGTTCAAATGGATGGCAACATGGCATGTTGTGTTTTCTTCTGCTATCAAGTTTATCTAGTAGCTAGCCGTCAATATCAAACTCGTGTCGTCTATGGTAACATTTGAGGCATATGGGAGGTTTTTGGATATCAGGTGTTGAGATTTTGATTTTTCTGGGAACAGCTTGAATTTGATTATTTTAAGGTTTTGGATGCCCTTTTATATCCGATGCCGAATTCGTGGATGAACAGTAGCATCAACCGCTGCCTCATCGGAGCCAATAAAGCCTCACGGTACGACGGCGAGTCGGCCGGCGGCGACGTTGAGGAGGGAGAAGCACTAAGCCTCACTCATATATGACAACGACGAGTTGGCCGGCGGACGGCGGCGGAGGAGCAGCTAAGCTTCGGTGCCTTCTGCACTGGTTTTCTCTGGTCACGACATACGTGGTTGGACCGCAATAACTGACTGACTGATTACACGTACGTCACACAGCAATATGGCAACTTTTCAACTCACCCAAAGAAAAACCGGAGCAAAGCAGCTGCTGGTGATAGTACCAATTACTACCAAGCACGTTATGCAGAAAACAGTAGTATTCGGCAACTGTATATAATAAAATGAATGTATACAGTGGTCCATAAGAATTGAGAAATATGCTCTGCCATATGAAATTAACAATCGTAATTAGCCTTATATAACCTCATATCAAAGATGTATCATCTCATTTATAGTGAATGAACATCAGTGGTTTATAAACTAAGAACTACGATATAAATTTTCTTGAAAATCGGCAAAATACAAAGTGGATTCTGATCCTCGTCTCACAATTCTCCACAATAATCATACAGAACTATTGGAAGCCGGATGTATAGCAACTCTGCGCCTAGTCAATCTTCACAGATGAGTAAATCAATCTCGTGAACCACAAGCAGGCACAGAAACCAATTGTGCCAGTGAGCACGAAGAAAGAGAATGAGGCCAGAAGCATGTAGCCGAAGAACAGAATGCCTGACACCAGTTTAGTAATCTGCAGCTTGGTGAAGAAGTAGAACCCAGCATACAGGAAGAGATAGATGGCAGATGATCCTGAAGTAAGATAGGACCTCCACCACCACATGTAATCCTCACTGCAGAGCTGGAAGTAGCACAGCACGATTGCAATCTCCGCACAAGTGATGATGAGGATAATGAACACGAGGAAAAGGAAGCCGAAGATGTAGTAGAACTGGTGAAGCCAGATTGAAGTGAGGATGAAAAATAGCTCAATGAAAACTGCTCCGAATGGAAGAATCCCGCCAATAAGAATGGTGAAGGCAGGGTTCATGTACCAAGCCTGCTCTGGGACCTGTCTCGGGATTTTGTTGGTCTTCACTGGAGCCTCAATGGCAGGTTTCTTGAAACCAAGATAGCTCCCAACAAAGACAAGTGGAACCGAGATACCGAACCAAAGAAGCACCAAGGCAAACATTGTGGAGAAAGGGACAGCACCTGATGATTTCTCCCCCCATATAAGAGCATTCAAGACGAAGAAAATACCAAAAGCAATTCCCGGAAACAGGAAAGCAGTCTTCAAGGTGATGCTCTTCCATTCTGATCCTTTAAACATCTTATAGAGTCGGGAAGAAGCATATCCAGCAAACAGCCCCATCAAGACCCAAATGAGCAGCATCGCAGTCATCAATCCTCCACGGTTTGATGGAGAAAGGAAACCCAAGACAGCAAACATCATGGTAACCAGCAGCATACCAAAGAACTGGACACCAGTGCCAACATAGACACAGAGTAAGTCAGAGTTAGTTGGTGGGCGGAACACATCTCCATGAACAAGCTTCCAACCAGTTTCCTCCTGGGCTTCTTCTTCAGTCTCAAGTTGATTGTACCTGGAGATATCTCTATATAGAGTGCGGAGCATGATCATGGCCACCATTCCAGATAAGAAAAGCACGATCATGAGAGAGTTCACAATAGAGAACCAGTGAATTTGATCATCTGTCATAAGCAGATAGGTGTCCCAGCGAGAAGCCCACTTGATATCACTTTCCTACAAGACCCAGCCAAGAAAACCAAAAGAGATTGTTTAAATAAAGATAACACTCGAAGAACAGCTGTGAAGGAACAGAGTCACAGTACAAAAGAAAAGAAGAGATGTCATGAAAATATCACCTCAAAGCCAACATCATATGTGAATATGATATCCTTCCCAGCTTCAACCTCTTGAGGAGTATCTGAGTTTATTACTATTTTGTTGGCATGGGGATCACATGTGCTCAAACGAGTGTTTGCATCATTCCATTTCTCTTCGAATTGGTGTTTAACACTGAGTCAGGGAATTTAGTAAATGCACATGAGGGACTAATAAAAAATTTGCCCAATATGTCAAAGACGTTGTATGAAACAAACATG